ATCAATTATTATCCTCTTACTAACAATTAAACATAGAAAAAAAATACCCAATAGTTTTGTTTTCTACTAAATGGGTCATGAAAATAACTTTCATAAACAAATGAATGCAATAGAGTAACCATACTCAGTTGAGAAGGAAACAAATGTTTCTCAACAAGGGCCTTCCCCAAATGCAGTAGATCAGCTCAAATGCTGCTACTAGGCACATTGCCACACTACCAAAAGGTATCCATACTCTCTTCTTCTATTAAGCTACTACATTTATCCGTGATCAACCGAAGTTTAGTCTGCCCCCTACAAGCGAGGAATGAAACTGCAGCTGAACTCAACTAGTAGCAGGCTGAAGACTGTTACAGTACATGTAACTTATTATGAATAGAATATTTCAATGTAAAATATTTAGATCTTATAAACTGATTGAAGTAAAACAATAACATGAGATTTAAAAATAATTCAGAAACCCCTTATTTAAAGTGAAATTGCACCTTCATGTTGCATTTAAAATCAAACAAGGTTTCATTTCTAAACTATTTGAGTTTATTTATTATATAAAGCCTTTTTGCTGATTTTAAAAATGACTACATATATAAGTAACTGTATCGTGAAATGTATCGTTACCATGAAATAAAATTAGTCATACCGTGAAATAGAATTTTACCTCTACCGTGCGCTCATGTCTCGTGTCTTCCTTGAATTGCTTTGTCGTGTTTGGTGTAGTATGCGTCTCGCGAGTTTTCATTGCTGTTGTTATGTTCTGTGTGAGCACATGGCTTTGTTTTGTTTCTATGTGCCATGTGCTCCCATGTCTATTGTGTATCCCCGCCCATCTTGTTACCCGATTATTGCTTTCGTTGTTCCACCTGTTACCCATTCATTACCCTCCTTATTTGGTTCCCAATTTATTCTCCTAGTGTCTTCTGTCCTGTGCTAGTCCATCGTCTAATGTTCTCTTGTTTTTTTTCCTGCAGTTTAGTTTTCCCCCCTTGGGGTTTTGTTTTTTTATTTAAGTTTTTATCTTATTATTTAATAAAGCCCATTGCAAATTCTGCATATGAGTCCTCGCTTCATCTTTACTACAAACCTGACATATACAGGTGCATCTCAATAAATTAGAATGTCATGGAAAAGTTCATTTATTTCAGTAATTCAACTCAAATTAAACTTGTGTATTAAATAAATTCAATGCACACAGACTGAAGTAGTTTAAGTCTTTGGTTCTTTTAATTGTGATGATTTTGGCTCACATTTAACAACATCATAAGTACATTTTTATCATAGATAAATAAGGAACATGCTTAACCCACAAGGCTGTCTTTCTTTCAGAGACACGTGGATTTTAAAAAGGAGCGTCTTGACAGCATTGATGATGAGTTGGTGCAGGCAAAAATTGTGCTTGTGGAAATCACAGAATCCCGCAGACTGTGCCTTCAGGAGCTCAGCCGCAGAAAGAATTTTGTCACGTGGGTAAAAGAGGTGCTTCAAGGTAAGTAAATATGTGTTTGAACTGGTATTCATATTGAATGCGATTGTATCATTTTTATGCTCTTTTGTAAGCAAATGTTATTCCTTTTTATCACTTCAGACATCAATGAGTTGAAAGTATTTGTGGATTTGGCTTCCATCTCTGCCGGAGAGAATGATATGGAAGTGGATCGTGTGGCCTGTTTTCATGATGCAGTCCTTGGCTACTCCTCAATGCTCTATGATTTGAAGCCAGATGCTGACTTCAAGCTTTTTAAAGAGACGCTGAAGAATCTATGGAAGGCGCTTGACAATGACCGCAACCTCCCAAAGAAACTGGTGAGAGAATCTGCTAGCTTTAAAAATCAGAAAAAGAAAGCAGGATTTCTCACATTATTGTTCATCAACATTTTCTCTGATTTCAGAGTGACTCTGCAAGACACTTAGAATGGTTGAAGACAGTCAAGGATAGTCATGGGTCAGTGGAGACCTCATCTCTGTCTCTGGCATCAGCTATCAACATGAACGGCATCTACATTATTAGTGCACAAAATCAAAAGGTTTGTAATTACTACATTACTTACACTGATGACGCACAACGAAATTTTGAAATACTCATTACATTTTTTTCGTGCTGTCAAATCGATTTATCATAATTAATAGTATCCAGAATAAAAGTTTTTATACATATATGTGTGTATTGTGTATACTTAAAAGTTATAAATAAATGCACACACATGTATATATTTAAGAAATACATATATATATATATATTGCTATAGCTCCTTTTCTTTTAGGCTTTTTAGCCTGTCCTTTGTTGGCATTATACTGGAATTGGTAAATGAGCAAAATCAGTGTTGCGCATGAATGAAATGAACCCCCCACCCCCTTGAATGCATTCCCCCCCCATTTTTAAGGGCAGTTGCAACTGTGCAAAAGTTATATTTATTTACTATTACTACTAAAATATTTATTTACTGATAGGTATTTACACTGCAATTACAGTTTTATAAACAATGTTATGAGATTAGTGTTTTATTTATTTTTTTAAATATAGAAATATTAAATATTGTAAAAAAATGAAATGCCTGTAAGTGGTGGCAAGCCTTAATAAGTGTGTGACAGAATCATTTATTCACTGATTTGTTCAAACTCTAGTGTTCTGCTTTGTTTGAAATCATTTTTGTTGGTGAAACAATCAAAATTAACAATGCTGCATTTAAAAATATTAAATTAATAGACTCATATAGATTAAATTCATATCTTAAATTTAATTTAGGGGGCATTTCTATTCATTTTTGGTGGTATTTCCATCCTTGCATGATGCTAATTTTCGCCAATGTTAGACTAGCTTATTTGTTAAGCTAAAAGGGGTAGTTCACCCAAAAATGAAAATTAGCCCATGATTTACTCGCCCTCAAGGCATCCTAGGTGTTTATGATTTTCTTCTTTCAGAAGAATACATAGGGTTTGTATGGGTGCTTGAATTCCTTGAAAATGCTTGAATTTTAATGTAGTGTTTTCAAGGTTTGAAAAGTGCTTGGATTTTGGTTAAAGTGCTTGAAAACGATAATAAAAATTATGGTTAAAACGAGAACTAAATACTTGAGTAGCCTGTAAAGTCTGTTATTTTCATGGAAGAGTCTGTGCTTTCGAGCCATATAAAAGGTAAACAAAAATGCTTCTGGTCAGTTAAACTAAATCTTTTAAGACAAAGTAAAATGTGAAAATAAATTAAAGGTATTTATTGCGGCATACGTTTAGAAATGCTCACAATGCATCAACGATTTATTTGTGTGCGTTTTCCCCCAGCGTTATAACAAATCACCAACGTTTGTGTTGAGTGCATGTATGCAATGGCCATGCAGAGGCATTTAGATTAGACTCACCACACCAGGAAAAATCCGTGAAATGCTACAGTTGTGTTCAGTTCATGCGCTCACTGAATGCATTCTGCACTCTCTCAAATACTGTCATCATAAACAACATGATGCATTACATCGTGCAGATACTATGTAAACAAGAAATTCATTTTGCGGTTTAGACAGTGAGCTTGTGCTAGATTGAAACGTTTGTTGCTTGTTTTCTGTATGTTTTAATCGCAAATTGAATAACCATTTTGTTTTTCATAGCCTTCTACTAAAATAACCCATGTGAAGAAAGTCATGAATATGACATGTCGTTTCCCCCCACACAAAAACGTAATCGACATTAATTGTCATTGTCACATCAACTTAAAAACTTAAATGCCTTAAACGGTACAAGAAAAGACTTCTATTATAATTTCAAGAGGTCTAAAATTTGAGGACGGAAAGACAAGAATCATGATATTGTCAGGGGAAAACACGGATTCAATTGCAGGTTCAACTCAAAAGTTTATTAAAGTCTCAAACACAAAACACGGCTAGGGCAGAAGGCCAGGTGCCGTAATCCAGGGTGGAGGATGTATACAGGAAGAGGGGGCAGTCCAAACGAGCATCCAGACACTCCACAAGGCAGAGTGGGAAAGGCGTGGAGAGATCAGCGCACAGAGTCCCAGCGTCAGTGCTGACGCAACGTCAGAGTGGGGAGGTCCCTGTTGAGGGACACAAAAAACACAACAGGACACAGCACGACTAAACCAAAAGTAGGTCACGAGCGAAGTGTAGCGTGTACACACAACAACGGTCTGACACAAGACCACACATGAGGGGAACTAAAATAGAGGGAGAAATTAGGGACTAACTAGTCACAGGTGTGACCGCAGCTAACCTAGTAATAAGATAATGATTGGAAGGGGAACCGCTGAGGCAACGAGCACATGGCGAACTGTCAAAACAAGACAAGACAAGACCCACAACCTGCCGATCAGACCGAAGTCATGACAGTACCTCCCCTCCCAGGAACGCCACCTGGCGCACCCAGGAGGGGCTCAACTCGTCGCAGACGGAAGAACCAACAGGACTAAGAGGGGACTGAAACACAGGTTTCCCACCGGAGAATCTCAGGACGCAGCGCAGCCTGGACAAACAACCGACCCTCCGGAACATCCCCTCGGGACCATGGCCACTCGGCTATGGCTCTTACCTGAGCAGGATCAGCTTTGATCCCCTCCGCTGAAATGATATGCCCCAAGAACGAAACTGATTTGCGTGGAAAACACTTCTCCGCCTTGACAAAGCTGGTTCTCCAGCAGCCGTTGTAGCACCTGACTAACATGTTGAGTGTTTACCTGCAAGGAGGAAGAGAAGATGAGGATATCATTGAGGTACACAAAGACAAATCTGTTTACCATGTACACATAATTGATCAGGGCCTGGAAGACAGCTGGGGCATTAGTAAGCCCAAAGGGTAAGACCCTGTATTCAAAGTGTCCCGTAGGGGTATTGAAGGTTGTCTTCCACTCATCCCCCTCACGAATATGGACCAAATGGTAGGCATTACGGAGGTCTAATTTAGTGAAGACCTTGGCTTCCTGTAACAATTCAAAAGCAGATGACATCAGAGGCAGAGGATACCTGTTTCTTATGGTGATGTCATTAAGACCCCGATAATCAATGCAAGGTCGAAGGAAGCCATTCTTCTTCACGAAGAAGAACCCAGCTCCAGCAGGTGAGGAAGAGGGACTGATGAGGGCGGCATTTAAGGATTCCTTAATATACTTGTTAATGGCCTCTCTTTCAGGACCAGACAGGGAGTACAGATGCCCTTTAGGTGGAGAAGTACCTGGGTGGAGGTCGATGGCACGAGTCAAAATCACGAGGCAGATCGTGAGTGACAATTTCATCTTGAATCTCATCGTCTAGCCCCTCCTGAAACCTCGCATGCAAGGCAGCTTCATTCCAGTCGCAGGTGGCCGCCAGGCTTCTAAACTGGATGGAATAGTCAGTGATTGGGCGACTACCCTGATTCAACCGCGCCAGCTGAGGGGCTGCCTCGTCACCCTGAGCAGACCGGTCAAACAGCTTAATCATTTTGGCTCGGAAATCCTCAAACGTGGCACAGAATGGGGCCCAATCACGGGCCCTCCCTTTCAGGAGGGTGATCACGAATGCCACCTGAGACTCCTCCGTGATGTAACGGTGGGGCTGGAGTTGTGAAGACCATGGAGTACTCGGACAGGAAGGCCCGGCACGAATTAGGATCTCCGATGTAGGTTGGAGGACTGTTGGCGTGGGTTTCTGGCTCAGCCTGAGGTAGAGAACGGACGAGAGAGGCAGCAGATCGGCTGGCCAGGGCCTCCTGCTGGAGTTCCTGCACCCTGATATTGAGTTCGGCTACCTGGGCTACCAGGAGGTCAACTTCCCTTGAGGTGACTGTTAACTGGGTGGAATGCTGGCCAAGGAGAATGCCCTGTTGTGTCACAGTGGTTCTGACTTGTTCTGCTCCTGCTGAATCCATTTCTGGTCAGACCGGTCTGTCAGGGAAAAACACAGATTCAATTGCAGGTTCAACTCAAAAGTTTATTAAAGTCTCAAACACGGCTAGGGCAGAAGGCCAGGAGCCGTAATCCAGGGTGGAGGATGTAGACAGGAAGAGGGGGGCAGTCCAAACGAGCATCCAGAGACTCCACAAGGCAGAGAGGGAAAGGCGTGGAGAGATCAGCGCACAGAATCCCAGCATCAGTGCTGATGCAACGTCAGAGTGGGGAGTTCCCTGTTGAGCACGCAGAGAAGGGCCGGGGTACAGAAGCCTAATACACGGCTCAGGTAACACCAGGGCAGGAACTGAGGAACAGAGATCTGGAGAAATGAGAGGCAAGAAAGGAAGTCAAAACAGCAGGGATTAAACTGCACTTGGAACCTAAGAAAAACACAACAGGACACAGCATGACTAAACCAAAAGTAGGTCACGAGCGAAGTATAGCATGTACACACAACAACGGTCTGACACATGACTACACATGAGGGGAATTAAAATAGAGGGAGAAATTAGGGACTAACTAGTCACAGGTGTGACGGCAGCTAACGTAGTAATAAGATAATGATGGGAAGGGGAACCGCTGTGGCAACGAGCACATGGCGAACTGTCAAAACAAAACCCACGTGCTCCCGACAACAACCACAAACACAGACAAGACAAGACCAACAACCTGCCGACCAGACTGAAGTCATGACAGATATGGCTTAATGTAACGATTAACTTCATAAGGGTATGATTTCATTGAATAAACAAACAAAACAAAGTCAAAACGTGGCGCAGGTTTTTTTGATATGAAATTATCTCTGAAGGGAACAGCCTGCCCTCAGAAGTTTTGATGACATTTTCATTTCATCTTGCCTATGTGTAATGTCTGATAATGTAGCGTTAACGAGCACAGTTCTGCTTTTTGTACAGTCGTTACCAGGCAAACAGTTGTTGTTCCGTTCCAAATGCGCCACCTGCTGGCAATTTGCTATTTTTGTTCAGAACAAATAAAAGGTGCCTTCAATAATCCAAGCGATTAACAAAGCAAGATGTGTGTGTTTTAATTTAAGATAATCATTTATACTTTTGACTAATCCCTTTTCTTAAAAAATAGCTAAAATGTTAAAATGTGAGGTTTATTACTAATGAAAAAACTGTTTTTGAACTGCAAATCATGTTTTTTACTGTCATTTCAGTCATTAAGTCATTAATATATTACCATCATAGACATTGCCCTACCCCACTCATATAATATTCAATTTATTTGTGCAGGTCTTAAAAAGCCTTACATTTTATTTTTTTAAATCCTGCAGATACCCTGTAAATTCTTTCTTTTATTAAATTTTGTAATTTATATCCTGTATGTTGGATATTTATATTAGGCAATGCAATCCAGACAGGTGGTTTTTAATAGAACAATAACATCTGATTTAAAGTGAAGAACGTGAAGTATGTATGGAAACATGTATTTTTCCACAGTTGTAAAGTGCTGGAAAAGCTTGAAAATGCACCTTGAAAGTGCTTGAATTTTACTTTGGAAAAGGTGTAAGAACCCTGAATACAGTTGGAGTTATATAAACAAATGTCCTGGCTCTTCCAAGCTTTATAATGGCAGTGGGTTTTTTGTTCAACAGTCCAAAAGAAGTCCAATAAAGCGCATCCATCCATAATAAAAAAATACTCTTAAAACTACATTCCGGTTGAAGCTCTGTTATCACTTTGATCAAGTCTTTGAACTAAATCAACTCAAAAGAGTGATTCATTTGCGAATGGGTCATTGCTCATGCCCTAGAAAAAAAAGAGACAGTGCGCTTGGCATGAACTATGCGTTTATTGACTTGTATTATGTTATAATTAATAAACAAGAGGAAGATCACCCAGTGTAACAAAGTATCAGTACAGATTTATTGTTAATACTTATTTTAGTTTTAATAGTAAACCTCTAATAGCATATTTCAGCTACATAAAATATCAGATATTGAATAACGAAGAACTGCATAACATGTTGAAATACATGCTATTTTATTAGCAAATTATTAAATGTAAATTTTAAACATTTTTAATTGTAACAGATATTTAAGCATACAAATATTTTGTAAATCCATGTATTGAACTGGCTACCACTTTTAATTCTCTGATGCAAAGTAAACCACCTTTATGTTATGATAATATAGCTTCTGATTCAATTATATAAATAATGCTTATACATAAAACAATAATACATTAGTACAATGCGTATTTTTAGTTCTGTCAATTCTGTTAAAATACTATATTTGATGCCGATAATACTTTGGAAATATCAACCCTTGAATATTGCTTTTTTTCAGTTGTGCTTGGAAGATATTCTGAAGTTACATATTATGGAAGAGCACGATGAGGGCTGTGAGACACGCATTTATTCTTTTGAAGACCTCAGGGAACTTCAGAATAAATTAATGCTAATGTCGGGCAAAGGGGATCAGGGCCAGCGTGAAGTCAATCGATTTGCAGAGGTGACTTTACAACTTTTATCTTTTTTATTCCGCTGTCTTTCACCATGGTTGTTGTAATTGTACCTGAACTTCTTTCCTGTTTCCAGGTCTTTGCTAGTGTACAGAGGTTGGCCTGTGCATTTATTGATTTGTTTGTTGCTGGAAATCCATTGTTCAGACACTGGAAGGCAAAGATCAACTGTAATAGTAAAGAAGAATGCATCATTATGGACCTCGATTTAGGAAGTGTTGTTAGTGTCATGATTGAAGGTGATGTCACAGAACAGTTGCCGGAAGTCTGCCGGAAAATGGAGAGCTGTTTATGCTTCTGGAAGGCTTTTATGGATAAGCAGAGATCTCAGCATTATTACTTAAACTATTTTACGTCAGAACAGGTGGTCTACCTGTGCAGCCAGCTCACCCAGAAAAACGACACTGAATTGAAAGATCAAGTTCTTATGATGCTCTCCTTTATCAAACCTAATTGGTCCTTTTCAGATGTGACACAAGCTTGGCACAGGCTTCAGTATGAAGTAATTAAGAAGGACCTTAGGCAAAATGATGACTTAGAATTTCAAACGTTCGCAGAAGTTCCCAGCATGATTAAACATGATTTGAATACTGATGAGCCATGTGCATTGTTTGACAACTTGGCAAGTCAGCTGAGGCATGCTAATGGGTCAGAAAAGCTAGATGTGATTTGGAATGCTTACATGCGAGACATGAACAACTTCCTGCCAGACTGCCTTGACGTCAGAAGCCTTGGATATCTTCTTGAAATGTTAGCCAACAGCCCCAGTCAATATGAGAGTGATTCCAAACAGGATGAGAAAACAAGTAATATTCAGAGAGAACTGCCAAATGGAATGGCTACTGGAAAACCAAATCTGATAATCTGCCCTTCTGAAGAAATTCTAATAACATGTATTTCAATGTACATGAGAAGCAGAAAAGAGCCTCTACCAACCTATGATGAAGTACTTCTCTGTAGCGCTTCCACTCCATATGAAGAAGTGGAGCTTTTCCTCAGGCGTTGTCTCTCTGATGGCTATAGGGGAAAGAAAATATACACAATGCTCTATGTGGACCAACTTACCTATGAAGTGAGCTACAAAGTGGAGCAGTTTTTTCACCAGCAAAATGCACAAAGCAGAAATGATTACAGACTGGTGTTGGTCTGCAGCTCTAATAAGGAACATGCATACCTTCCCTCTGCTTTTAGTCAGTTTAGATTGCACTTGGTTCCCCAAGAACCTATGATCAATATTCAGCAATACCTTGTTAGGCATTTTACAGTCCCAGCTGACATATCCAGTGCTGCTGCTGTGTTCAAAGACAGACAGTTTGTGGGAGTTGTATTCTCTGAAAGGTCAGGAGTCGGTGAGTATAAATTCAATACAATGGATTTTAGTTAGTTTTCAGATTCAGAATTCTTATTAGTTGACCAAATAAAATAAAATAAAAATAAATAAATGCATGAAAACTTTGTTTTCTGTGTGTATGAATATTTTTGCACTGCAATTTGTCAGATAAGCTAAATCGCTGTTGTGTGTTCTAGGGAAATCACTTTACGTTAAACGAATGCATGAGAAATTAAAAACGATCACCGATAATCCTACACAGCTGAAGTGCATCAGGTTAACTGAGCCGAGAGTTGATGAAAATATCATCCTTAAGTCCTTGCTCAACAACTTCAAGAAACGGGAACTTTCAGTTTATCATTTTGACATCACCACCATGGTAGCTACCTGTATTTACTGTTTTTGATCAATGTGATGAACAAATGGAATGACATTTTGTGGCTGTTTTTCATTATTGTTTCTGTACTTACAGGTGAAGACAGGACTTCATGAATTTCTGTTTAGGCTATTGATTCTTGGTTACCTCATAGACTCGGAAGGAAATATGTGGAAAAGGAATAATGAGCACCTGTATGTAATTGAGATACTAAGACCAGATTGCAGCACATCACAACGTGACAGAAAAACTGTAAGTAAATATAAATTACTTAATTAAATCATGTAGGATTTTTTTGCATGCAAATTCCTTGATGAATCTATTTGCCTTTTTATGATAGGGTGCTTTCATGGATGTGTTTCAAAGTGTTTACTGCCGTCCACCTAAAGAGGTCCTTGAGCTAGAAATGAGAATCCAGGAAGATCCGTCATTAGTAGAGGGTGATGATCCCCTCATGGATGACCAAGAGTTCCAAAGTGAGGCCTACCAGCGGCCTTATCAGTACCTGCAACGTTTCTACAATGGTATTAATTTGGATACCTTCAGGTACCAAGGAGTTGAGGGCACTCATGTTGAATGCCTTCAGATGTTGTTTGTGTACTGCGGCATCGTAGACCCGTCTTGGGCAGAGTTGCGGAATTTTGCTTGGTTCCTAAACTTACAACTTAGGGATTGTGAGAACTCAGTTTTCTGCGATATTTCTGTTATAGGTGACATTTTGTTGGGATTTAAAAAATTTGTTG